CTACCCCCACGAGCGGTGGATTGAAGGTGTCACTTCAATTAAGGCCATTTTGAGATTTTTTGAGCCCCCAGGTTTTTTTTTTCTCAAGCTTTTTTGGCATTTTTTTATGTTTTGGAGGCCGCTCTGAAGTTCTTCAGAGTCTCCGCAGCAAGCCACCACCGCGTAATGATTATTTGTGGAGTGTTTTGGTGCAAATTCCTAAATACAGGAAAAACACCTGCAGCGGAGAAAAAAAATCAGAACAAATAGGGGAAAATATCCCTCAGTATGGATTCTCCAGGTCCAAATTCCTAAATACAGGAAAAACACCTGCAGCGGAGAGAAAAAATCAGAACAAATAGGGGAAAATATCCCTCAGTATGGATTCTCCAGGTCCAAATTCCTAAATACAGGAAACCTCGCAGCTGCCAGCTGTGCAGGCAGGGCCAGGCAGGGATGCCCAGCAGGCAGGAAATCCAGATGGAAGGGCTTTTCCCCTCTTCTCTCCGCTGTTTTCCCGTGGGATTAGTGTCTCCCTGTGGGATTGGCGTTGTGGCATTAGTGAGGAGGAAGGCAGGATGAGACTCTGCTGGTTCTGGAGGGTGAATAAATGGAATGGGGGACAGCAGACGACTGTTGGCAGGGGACAGGACAAGCGGAAAACCGTCAGGACGACCCATCTGGTGGGGGACGAAGCGTCGCGGGATCAATCCGGTTTCTTTCCCAGCCGTTTAAAGACGCTAACAGTGCCAGTGCTGTCCATCTGAGCGCCGGGGGTCTCACTGGTGCTGCTCACCTTCCCGCACCCCCAGGTCCTTTTGATTGTCATCCGAAATTCGGGTTCGCTTTTATCCTTCGTGCTGGTGACGTTGCCGTCCTGGGCTTCAACTGACACCGCAGCGATACCGATGACACCGATTTTGGACGCGGCCGCTTGCGGTTTTGCCGCCATACGGGTATCGGGGGTGTTCCTGTGACTGAGCTGCGGGATGGCAGCGGTGACAGTGACCGGTTTGGCCTCCGAACTGGTGGCTTTTGCCTTGACGGTCCCTCCTGGCTTAGTGCTTTCCTTACGGGGAGGTTTGGCAAGTTTTTTTAGGACACCAGCATACTGGAGGACAGAGCAATCGTCGTCGCTCTCGGTGGCTTTGTCCCCGTCGGTTCCCAAGGCATCACCCAGTCTGCTGAAGACCCCTGTGGGCTGGGAGACAAGGCAGGGGGAGCCCATCAGCACCCACACCGCCATTTCAGGTGCCTGATTTACCTTCCCCTTCACCCCTTGAAATTCTGCCACAGGACAGCGGTGAGATGGAGACTGACCTCACCCACAAAGCGTTTTGGGATGTAACGATGCAAAACCCTGCCTGAAGCAATTAAATTAACGATTAGGTTATAAAACATGTCTATAAATCACCCATAAAATCATATTCCCTCTAATATTTCTTCAGGGGCTCAGGCTGCACCTTTACACCCCAATACTTCCATGCTGAGGTTTTTTTCTGCAGAAGCAAGAAAAAAATCTCCTGTAGCCCCAGATCAAGAGCTTTTTGCCTCCAGAGAAGAGAAAAAAACTCCTGTATCCCCCATTAAAGGAGTCAAAATAGAAGCGCAGACGAGGATCATCCGGGGATTGAGGATCTGCTTGCCTTTGGTGGCTCCATCCTGCCTTTCCCTGGTGCTTCCCCACCATTTTCCAGTTATTTCAACTTTCCTTTAGCCCCTCCATGGCAAGCAGGTGGCTGCCAATCCCAAAATAATCCTGGGGGAGAGGACTGCTTCGGCAGGGGGGTTGGACTAGATGACCCACAGAGGTCCCTTCCAACCCCTACCATTCTGTGATTCTGTGGCTCCCATGTCGGAATCCTGGTGCGGTTTGGCACAGCTGCCAAGAGTGATGGCTAAACAGAGTCACAGCCGAAAACCCGCGTCCTCTCACCTTCCCTCCTGGGGTCGTGTCCCCTTTTGCCTCAGCTCCCAGCCGTTCAAAGACAGATGTCCTCTGCAGACCTGCAGTTTTCAAGAAAACGTGTTTTTTTGGAGGTTTCCATGGAACATTAAACTACGCTGGGTCAGCACCGACGGCTCGTGGTCTTTCAGCCCTGTCCTATGGTCAGGGAAGCCAGCAAAATAAAATCCACTTGATAGAAGTGTGCCAACAGCCACCTGTCCCCTTCTTCCTAAGGCTTAAATAGATGTGAGCGGAACCTTTACGACTTGCAGTGAGTTAATACATCCTTGGAATAACACAACTTCTACCCAATAACTCTCTGGATGCAAAAATCCTTCTGGGATTTTCAATGATGGGTTAAACTGGGACTAAACTGGGCTTCTGGAAGAGGAAACGAAGATCAAACCCCGCTGCCGGTACCTTTCGCAGCTTGCTGCTCCAGGATTTTCTTCGTCCTTGGCGTGGTGCCCTTGGGCATGCTGATGATGTACTTCCCTTCCATTTCTGCCGTCACCCGTCGGCGTTTTACTGGGATCGTTGGATTTTCGTCTGCCGCGTCGCATAAACCTGGTGGGATGAAGGAGGAGTGAATCCAGAGTTCTGGCTGCAACCAGACTTTGGAGGTAGAAGGGTTTTATGAGCGCTTGGGCACAATCCCAGGCTCAAGTGAGCTCTGAGAGCGGCTGCTTCAACACCAGCAGATCTCCTGCAGTGCCTGGCGCTCTGCAAACACCCTCCTGCCCCATCTCTAGCTACTCCTAACCACAAAATCAGAGAATTGTTTGGGCTGGAAGGGACCCTAAAGAGCATTCACCCCTTGCCGCGGGCAGGGACATCTCCCACTAGATCAGGTTGTTCCCAGCCCTGTCCAACCTGGCCTTGAACACTCCCAGGGCAGGGGTGTCCACAGCTTCTCTAGGCAGCCCGTTCCTGTGTCCCACCACTCTCACAATCAAGAATTTCTAATGGAAATCTTCCCTCTTCCAGTTTAACACCCTTCTTCCCCATCCTGCCTCTACACCCCCTGATACCCCTGAGCCCCTTCCTGTAACTCCCTGCAAGCACTGCAAGGCTGCTTCAAGGTCTCCCTGGAGCCTCCTTGTCTCCAGGCCGAACCACGCTGACTCTCTCAGCCTGTCCTCGTATGGGAGGTGTTCCAGCCCCACCCTGATCACTGCTCTGGTCTCCTCTGGACCCACTCGTGCAAGACCTTGCACTTGGCCTTGTTGAACTTCACCAGGCTGGCACAGGGCTCCCCTCTCCAGCCTGTTACAGTTCCTCTGGATGAATCCCCTCCGTCTGGAGCACCAACCTTCCACCCTCAGCTTGGGGTCACCCCCAAACTGGCTACGGGTACACTTGAGCTCACTTTCCATGTCCCCAAGAAAGACGTCAAAATGTCAAATCATACTGGTCCCAGTACAGACCCCTGAAGGACCCTGCTCATCACTGTTCTCCACGCAGACACCGAGCCAGAGTGCAACCATCTGGCCAACTCCTCACCCACTGAGGGGTTCACGCCTCAAATCCCTGCCTCTCCATTTCAGAGACAAGGATGTTGTGTGATTAGCTCAAAAACCCCGC